TTTTTGGGTGTGGTCCCTAAAGGGAGACTTGCTTCTGTTGTTGATGCATGGGCTGATAACAATTTGTTGGGGCTACAATCTGACCTACAATGAGTATCTTTTGTTAGCTTTGTCCATATGTAATTTTGTACAGGCTAATTTTTTGTTTTGATGTAAGACCTTCCTTTTTTGTGTTGTTGGTCTATTGTCTTAGGCTTCCATGTGGTTTGCCCACTAGACGTCAGGATTGTATTTGCTATTCTTTTGCTTTTCCTGTGTTTTTTGGGTTCTTAGGAATTGAAGAATTGTATAAATGATTACAGCAGACAGTCTTTGAGCAACCTGATTTGCAACAAAGGCAATATCCTACCTGGTGAGTGTGAGATATTGAAGACCACCAATCATACTGTGATAAAAAGGGTCATATTAGGAAAATGGTCATCATCAGAGGACTGTGATGCTTTGGAGGAGCTAAAGGGTGTAGCACATAGAGCACAAGAATCAAGTTGGAAGCATCAAAGTAAGTTGCTGAGATAGATACAAAACAGTATTATCCCAAACAACTTACATGCCAAGAAAGAAACTAAGAGAGCCCAAGTCTCGGCAGGCAAATGCAAAACATAACGAAGAGACATAATCTGTGATAGCAGATGGATCCGAACTAGTGACAATCAATCATCCACATAGACAAGAAGAATCTCAATGATCTAGATATGCAGCGGATGAAGAGGAAGGAGTCAAAGTAGCTATTGGTAAATCCAGTATCAATCAAAAAGTAGTATAGACGATGGTATCATACACGAGGAGTCTGCTTAAGACCATAGATAGCTTTAATAAGTTGACAAACATGAGAGGGTCGCTGTGAATCAATGAAACCAAGAGGTTGCTCCATGAATACTTCTTTAGTGAGATAACCTTGAAGAAATGCATTTTTGACATCAAGTTGACGAAGTGGCCAACCATGCATTATGGCAAGAGCAAGAACAGTGCAAATAGTGATAGGCTTAAGAACGAGACAAAAGGTATCACCAAAATCCATAGCAGGCTACTGAAGAAAAGCCTTTGTAACTAGACAAGCCTTGTATCGTTCAACAGACCCATCAACTCGACGTTTAACTTTGTACACCCAACAACAACTAACAAGTTCCTGATAAGGATTAGGTGGAACAAGAACCCAAGTATTATTTCGCAAAAGGGCATTATATTCACATTGCCTGACGCCAATGAGAGACAGATTATGCTTGCTTGAATTATGTCGGTTCATGCAGCATAGGATCCAGTGTCTCTACAATAAGAGCATGCTGAAGCACTTGAGGTGAGGAGGCCATAATATCATAAAGACTATGATACCTCTGACAAATTGGTGCTGGTGGTGTTGCAGAATAGGGAGGCACAGAATCTGTAGGCGTCAAGGGAGATAATTGGGAATCCCGATGGAAGAAGAATGAATACTAGCTAACGGGGACTAAGGAAGACCAGTGGAGTCGGATGGAACTAAATCAGAAGATTGATCTACAGTGGTAGATGATGGTGGCATGGCCGGTGCAGATGAAAAGGCAAGCCTAGATCCAAGAGCATCAGAAAGCTGAAACAGTGTGGATGGAATGGACAAAGGTCGAAAATCCAAAGGAGGTAGTGTTGAAGTGGCAATAGTGACATAACCAGGAAATGTTGTCTCATGAAACACCACATGTCGAGAAATGTATACACGGCTAGTAGGAATATGGAGGCACCAGTACCCACGATGTGACAAGTCATACCCCAAAAAAATATAGAGAGCATAACATAGGGCTAGTTTGTGAGCAGCAATCAAAGTGAGCAATGGAAAACAGGCATAGCCAAAAGTCCATAGGAAGCAATAGTCAGGAGATCGCTGAAAAAGAACCTCAAAAGGACAGTGATGCTTGAGCACTGGTGTAGGCAACTTGTTAATCAGAAAGACAATAGTAGAAAAGGCCTTCACCCAAAAGGATGGTGGCAAGTTAGATTGTAATAAAAGGCAGCATCCTTTTTCCACTATGTCACGGTGTTTCCGCTCAACAACACCATTTTGGGCAGGAGTGTAAGGACATGACAGTTTATGGGTAATACCATGGGACTCAAGAAGGGAATGAAACAATTTATTATTAAATTCACCACCATCAATTTTAATAGAACATGAAAGTAGGTTCTCAACCATTAATTTAAATTTACAAAAAATCTCAGTGACATCAGATTTTTTAAACATAGGAAAACACCAAGTATACCAACTATAATGACCAACAATAAATAAGTAGTATTTAAAAGAAGAAAATGACAGGAGTGGAGCAAGACCCCATACACAAGATGAAGGAGCTCAAGAGGAGATTTAGCTGTGTATGTCTGTTTGCTAAAAAGAAGACGACAACCTTTACCAAGAGGACATACGAGACACTCAGCAGAGAGATCTTGAACTGGACTGGACACGGAGGCAAGCACAGTCTTGAGCACAACAGAGGAAGGGTGTCCGAGACAACATTGCTAGACATCAGACGATACACAAACAGATGAAAGGCAGTGACAATGGGAGACGATGATTTGTATAACCGATTACTACTGTGACCAAATAGAAGAATCTGACCTGTCCGTTTTGCCTTGATAACAAAGCCAACCGAATCAAGATTGCAAACCAAATTAGCATCTGATGTAAGTTTATGAATAGATAATAAATTCTTACGAAAAGATGGAACACACAAAACATCAAACAAAATAAGTCTAGAATTAGGAGACTTAGACAGACATACATCACCCTTTTGAGCAATAGATAAGGACTGACCATTCCTAATTAGAATAGAAGACGTACCATTATGAGGCTAAGAAGAGGACATGGTAGTAGCATTGGGTGTCATGTGATGTGTAGCTTCGGAATCAAGAACCCAATTGGAGTAAGAGGGATCACACACAGACATAGCAACAAAAGGTGTAGCAACAGTCTCTGCAGAATACGTAAAGTTGCCGCATTGGGGACAAACACGAGCAGAATGCCCATGTTTGTCTCAAATCTGACAAGCACCCTGCAGAAGAACACCAACTAGAGTAGGCAGTAAAGGAGGCTAGAAAGAAGGTGGAGGCGGAGGCGACTGGCGTGACTGATTATTCTAACCACCACAACCTCGTCCGCAATTGCCCCGATTATGAGAACGGTAGGTGCACCTGTTGGAGGAAGAGCCAGATGACCCAGATGATTGTGAGGAAGTGCAGTTAGTAGCCCTGGCCACAACTTGAGTGGACAAACTTGAGTTTTTCTATTGAAGTCGTTCTTCCTGATCTAGAAGATCAAACAATTCATCGAAGGTAGTGGAAGACTGAAGATGGAGAGCGGTAATGAACCCTTGATATTCTAGACCAAGGCCATCAACAATATATTCCACAAAATCAGATTCTGAAACTGGAAAACCTGCTGCAAAAAGAGAATCAAACACATATTAGCATCAATAAGATAATCAGTCATTGATTAGTTAGTGGCCTTTCAGAGATTGCACAGTCGATCACGAGTAGAAAGAAGATGAACACCAGATAGAGGATTGATCCAAGCTTTGATAGCAGTGGTGCATGGTAGTAAAAGATTCTGGACAATATAGGGCGAAATGGTAGACTTGATCCATGTCAGAACCAATTTTTTTATTCTTAACCAATGGGAATGAGTTGGGTTTGTAGTGCCATCGGAGGGAAATGGTGCAGGGGGACGGGCATTACCAACGATGATGTGTTGTAAGTCGTGGATAGCAAGGACATCAAGAAGCCGGGACTTCCAAGCGCGATACGTATTGCATTCAATGAAAGAAGAAAAGTAGCTTCCAATGTTGACTGTGGTAGGCAAGGATGGCACCAACATAGGATGTGGTTGGGGTGAGATAAGTGTTGACGAGTGAGATAAGCCAACCGTGGAAGTGAGCACCTAAGTGAGAGGAACCTGTTGGTGTGCTGGTAGATAAAGGAAACCACCCATGGAGAGGGAGGAGATGGCAAGGAGATCATCGGCTAAACAACTGAGGAAGCAAAGTTGACCAAGAAAAGAATGCTAGAAGTGGTGGTGGTCAAGGCTAAAGTGGTGGACTATGACGAATCTGCCATGAGAAAAAAAAAAAACTTCAAGAAGACAAAACAAGAAATCGGCTGGAGCACGGTTGGAGAGTATAAATGATCACTAGAGAAACATAGATCGTGGCGACTGAGAAGAGCAAGTAGATTTGCAAAAATAAAAAAAATAAAAAAATGGAAAAGACAACGGATAAGAAGAGAATAGGGGCTGGCGCTGATCGGAAAATGACCGGAGAAGAAGAGAGAGTCGTCGGCAGAAGAAGAATCGTCGTTGAGGTTGAAGAAGTGAACAGTAGCCAAAGTCGAGGAAGCTTGGCAGTCGTGATCTGGAAAACAATTACAGGGGTGACTTTGCAAGATTGTAAAGTTTAGGGGAGGCGGTTGCAAGAAGAAAAAGATAAAACCCTATATGTAGGGGGAAACTGTCAGCTTTCATACATTTAGGACCCAAGAATAATTATTACTCTGATACCATTAAGAATTGTATAAATGATTATATGTTCAATATTAATAAAGTGTACAATAAATAGGTTCAACATATTCTATACAAGGAAATACAATCATCCTAATAATGAAATTAATCAAAAATATAAAGAAAGATGATATTATAATAATCATGATAATAAGGAAATAAAATCAAAATGATTTTATTCCTTAATAGGAATGTCCAGGATACTTAAACGCTTGTAGAGTCTCTCTTTTTGGGGGTCTCATTTTTCATTCTTTATAATATTTCCATTTACCAAAAATAAAAAAAAATAAAAAAATAAAATAAAAAGCTTGCTGACCTGTCAAATGCTAACTTAATTAACAGTAGACTAAAAAGTAAGTTAAATTGGCAAGCTACCTTGAAAACACACAACTTATTCTCTCAAGTTATTTGGCAACATCAAGCATGATCAACAAGACACACAGCATTAATAAATATTCAGTCAGAAATTAATAAATATACAAGCCTTTTTATTAAATTCCAATAAAAGTCTCTTGCATTGGTGACATATCAGCCTCCTTTACCATTTCGACTAACTTATATAAATCCCTCATACTTGGTCATCATCATTCTTCTTGGGCAACACATAATTCGTCGGAGGCTTCTTCTTATAACATGGGAACTTGGTCGCCAGCCGCTTCTTAAACCATTTACTACGAAGAACCTTCTTAATCCACTTGTAAAACTTGAGCAAAGTTACCTAAAATGTAAAATACATAGGGAATTGCGTGAGTGCAAATATGCTGACCGGAAGAAATGCAGCCGTGTAAATAAGAGTGCTGGTCCAATGTGGCTTTTGGAAACGAATGATGAGCAATAATGTTGCCGCAAATGCAAGCATTGTTGTAGTCAAGGAAAAGAAAAGTAAGAGGAAGCCTATTGTCAGTTTTCCAGGGAGCGTGTAAAGGAATTCTTCGTAATTAAAAGGTGATGTCAGGACGGACAAGAACATTACCACCGAGGTCAAGGAGCAGGCTAAAGCAACCACGTCCATGACTGTGAAAAACAAGAAGAAATTGTTGTTGAGGAAAATTGGATACCCTTTATCAGTGAAACCTCCAGGCACAGTGTAGGCAGCTGCAAAGACGACGGTGGCAACAAGAACAGACACTGCAGAGCAAGACTGAGAAGTATCTTTTATCCATTGTTGTGCTCGCTTCAGTAGTTCATGGTGCTTCATATTGAAGAGTTCTTCGCAAGTCTTGTTATCCTTTGAATCAGGCAACATGAGGTAGTGAGGGGGCACTATCTTCTCTACACGCTGAATATATAAACATATAGCAACATGCATTGGTTCTTAAAGAGTACATACAATGGGGATTGTCAATTATATTCTCTAAAATTTTATATTTTTGCTATTTTAACATTTCATTGTCAATTGGATTCGAATAATGAAATAAAATTAAAAAATAGAAAAGATATTTATGTAAACCTTGAGACACAGATTATATTTTAATCCATACATGATTAAAATTCTTAAAGTAGGAGAAAGATGGGCTTACTTTGTACCACTTTAGCTCAGCCTGCAGTTCATATACAGGTCCTGCAGAGTGAATTTCTCTAGTGTCATCCCTTGTATTTGCAGCATGGTGCAAAATGGTGTAGCCATTTTTGTCAATCCCTCGGACTAACCTTGTCATGGGTATCTTCATCGTTTTCACATGATCGAATATCTTCTTTTGACGGTGCTTAATGGCCACATGCAATATGTTCTGCTTTAGATGATTCTTATACTCAACTAATTGGGGACATATTTTAATTATCTCTTTGACAATCTTTACTATTCCTCTTTCAGTTGCCATAAATAAAGGGCTTGGCTTAAAATCTTTACAATTTCCTTGCTCATTATCATCAGTTGGCATGACATCTCGAATCCAAAAATCATGTTCTGCTATTAGGCTCTTGGTAAGTCTAAAAGCAAGTTTATGCTTTCTCTTAGCTTCACAGATTTTTCTCGCTGGTGAATAGATTTTTCCCAGTATCCACCACCCTATTCATGTTTACGCATGTACATGATTCATATAATGTAGCAAAGTAAATGAATTTAAGGAAACAAAAGTCAAATTCTTATTTAAAAATAATTAAGAAATAAGTAAGGTAAATTCTTATCTATTACCTTTGAAGAGATTTAAACAACAAAGTTCTTTATCTTCTACATCATCGCCAAAACGAAGGCCTGCAGGTTTGGGTATTAATTAAAAAAAAAATACATTTTATTAGCAAAGGTTTCTCTTTAACATCTATGTTTGAAGGCACATATACTAAGAAATTAAATTATAACAAAAGTGACGTCTCATCTATTACCTTTGACGTCATCAAAACAACTCCCCTTCTCATCATCATCAGCTACACGATCATTGATCGGAAGGCCTATAAATTTAGAAATTAATAAGAAATATATAACTATCATTAACAAAATGTTCTTTTATGTTGCCTGTATTAAGGGCACACATCCTAACAAATTAAAACGTATAAATATAGTGTTAAGTTAATAAAATAGTTTCTATTTAAAATTATATGGACCAATTGGTCACCAAATTAAAGTTTTAATGATATAACAAATCATTCATATCCTTTTTTTTTTCATCATTTATTTTTTCTAAAATAATTTCATATTAGCAAAACAGTTGTTAATATAAAAATATAAAAATAGAGTTGTCGCACACTTAACTGCAAACATACAGGTATTTGTTTTGGATGAATTTAAGTAGTTTTAGATTTTTTTTATTGTTTGCTTTTCATATTATCTCTTGTTTTAAGATAAATACACTGAATAAAATAAGTTAAATTTCATAACTTATATACAAAATTGAAAATTATTAACTTATATTCAAATTTTGAAAATTATTAACAAACACATTGATTAAATAATTCAAATGTCTTTATTCAATAATATATATAAACTTATATGAGAATGTTAAATGTGACCTAGAATTTATTTATCTGAAAAACTTTTTAATCTAGTTGACCAATACATAGTTGTCGGATATTGAATTTTGGCAGTTGAAAATTGTTTTTGGTGAGTTTCAATAATCAAATTCGAAAAACAATTTTAGTGAGTTTCAATAATAATAATAATAATATTGGTGTTAAAATGATCTTCTTAGTTGGGACCTGACTTACTACGGAAGTTTCAATACCAAATGCTCTCAATCAAATCCTCAATAAACACCACTTTTATTACTATTTTTAATTACATGGACCAATAAATCATATAGAGATAATCATTTTAATATAAATTTGTGACACAAATTCTTAACTAGTGAATCAATTTGATCCAACGACTTGATGAGATGTTAAGCTAACTATTTTTAAGTTATTAGATTAATATAAATTAAGGATCATGAATTTGTTTCACAAATTTATAAATATGTTAAAAAAAATAAAAAACGAATAAAGAAATAAACACCGTTCAGTCTAATTGATATTAGAAAAGAATAATACTACACCAACAATCCTCTCTCACAAACTTTCTCTCACAATCCTAACATGACAATTCGCAATTAGTCAGTTTACAATAGACTTTACTTGAGTCATTGTAAGAAAAAGTTTGTGAGAAAGAGTTCTTGATGTAGTATTACTTATAAGAGAAATGCTACCCGTACCGTTACAGCGGGTTAAACCCACGTAAAGTGATTGGCATGTGATGTAGCAACTTATCATTTGGCACATCATCATTTAATAGTTAATTAATTATATTAATTAAAATAACTTATTTAACCCAAATTAAAAAAAAAAAAAGTAGTCAAGTGTCATAAAACGCTGATAAGGCTTTTTAAAATAAATTGTTTTAATTAATTATTAAATGATCTATCACTATCAAATCATTTTGTATAAGGCTTTTTGTATAACCCGTTGTAATTGTATTATTGTAGCATTTTTCTTGTTATTAATACTGTCTATGTTACAGTATAATTGGAGAGTACATACAGAAATATAAAAAGTTGGAGAGTACATACAGCAGTAGAAGACTCTGCCGATCCATGTGCTCATTCGGTATCCACTTTTGAAAGCAGAGGGCATACTGGCTAGCAGGTGAAGACTGGTCCAGCCCTTTTCGTCCTCCAATGTTGCTAAGCTTTTATCCAGTTTCAATAACAGTAGAGCCGTTTCTGAGTGAAAATTTGAAAAGAACTTGGCACATCAGATACCGGTTGAATATTTCAATTCAAAGCATAAGTAAACAAGCTAGATGGGCAGAGAAAGAGACCAAAATTCTCCCCTAGGATGGCAGCGTGCAGAATGGAGGCTCCAGGCACTTCACTGGTTTTTTCTGCTGGGGGTGTAGGCGGTTTGGAAGGCTCAGATGCAACGTGCAGAATAATGGAAGCTCCTTGCAGTTCTATGGTTTTTTCTTCTAGGGGTGTAGACCGGTTTAGCCTTTTCCTTGATATGGGTTATTTTTTGGCGGTGAATGTCTTTCAGCTGTGTAACTATTTTCATTTCTCCTGTTTCTGTAATTTCATTATATGTTACTCTGATCAGTTGTTCTGATGACTCTGAAGCTAAAAACTTCACCACTTTTGTTCTCCCATATGCAGCAGCTTTAAACAGCGCGGTTTCGCCTTCATCATTAATATCCTCAAGGAACTCAGTATGTTTATCATTCCCAAAGAGCTTTTTATCGTATTCCACCAAGAGCGCTACCGCCTCAAGGTTCCCGTAGGCAGCAGCCACACATGAAGAGCCGTGTCTCCGTACTCATTCCTCTCCAAATATGTATACCTTGACATAAGGTTTTCTTTGGCAATATTAAGTAAATATTCAAGCGGCTGTTTACTATTGCTGAAAACTGCCAAGTGAAATGCAGTGTCCATGGCGGCCGTTAGAAGATATGACAAAGCGCAAGGATTTTCTTTTGTGAAGAATGTCTGTAGGTCATCCCACTCCTCATCCAGAAATGCCTGATAAGGCTTATAAAATGTTGAATCATAGACCATCGTCAATCTCCAATTCAGAAACTTCCCTATGGAGGCAAGAAAAGAATTAATGAAGAATCCAACAAAAAATTTGCGAAAGTTTTCTCCTATTAATTTTACCTAATCAATGAATTGTTTCGCTTAATGTTTCAGGTGGGAATGATCTGGCCAGCTGGTTACACACATATGACATATGACACATAGGGCGTTATTCGTTATTGCGAAGATAGCTAATTAGTAACATATTGCAATACCATCAACCGTTAAGAGAACATCTTATGATTTTTGTCCACTTACAGGAAGATTAATGTTGTCTTCTAAGTTTATAGTTTATTGTTCAAAATTTAATTAATTACAAATATTTTGTCTCTAATAAAATAATGCACATGAATATAAAAGAATGCTTAAATTAACATAACCTAAAAGTACTTGATTATATATAGACATTAACATCAATGTTTAATTTTAAAGTATGTTATATTATCAAGGCGAAGTGAGTTGGCCGTTCGAGCTAGTTACACTTATTACTGGAAGTATTAATAAGTTAAAACATTAACAAAATTAAATTATGGGACAATATCTTTTAACTTAAATTGGTCATTGATTTATTACAATCTAAATTTTTATTGTCATCTCATCAACTCTTAACTATTAAATTGCAACAGATAAACGATTGAGAATTTTATCAATAATGTGGAGTCACCAATGACCAACCTCCTCTCACCCCATTAGCTCACTCCATCATAAGTACATAGTAAGTTATATAGGTCAGTGGAGTCACCAACCTCCAATTACCCCATTATAAATATATAATATGTAGGGTTTAGGGGTCACCAACCCCTACTCACCCATATGGCTCATCTTTGGGTGCTTTAATATTTGAGAGAGAAGTGATCTTTAGCCCACAATATTTTATCATTAGCTTCCATTCTTCATTTAAAAAGGGTTAAAAACGTAATTTTAATTATTTTTTTCTTTATAAGTTCTAAAACATGATACTTTTGGAAAGAAAAAAATTTCAACTGTGTAACTCTTTTGTGAATATGAGGACTAATTTTTAAATGAAAATTTAATTTCTTTAGTTGAAAAAGTAACAATTTATAGAAAAGTTATTGTTTGATCATTCAAAATAAACAAAAATCAAGAGAAAATCTCAAGCCAAGATTGTAAAATTTTAAAAGTAAATCCAAGGATAGCATTATTACAAATGATGATATTGACAAAATTATTTCTAAAGGAGAAGAGGCGACTTCTTATATATATATATATATATATAGATATATTATATATATATATATAAATATATAATATATATATATATATATATATATATAGGAGCACAAAAGAATCCAACACAAACGAAGCTTAGACATATGTTGTACCTGGGATCAGGCTTGGCTTTGATAAGCTCGACCTAGGCGTAGGTATATGATGTAAGGTTTTTAGACTATTTTTGTCTTTAGCCTCCATCTTCAAGTTTAGTAAGTATGTAATTTTAATAATAAAAAAAAAAATGTATTCATCTTCTTCTATATTTTTACTTTATAGCTTTAAAATAATAAAAAATAAATTTAAATAAATCAGAATTAACTATAAAACATGAGACCAAATTAATCAATATCATTATTATACGAAATTAAAACATCAAATCTCTTATAATCAAGTAATTACTTTTAAATTCAACTTAAACAGAAGAATTTTTTTTTTTCCTCATTTCCATTAAAAACGGAACACTCAGTATCACAAATTCTCATGGAGAAAATTTGTTATACCTAGACCTCTCAATTCTCACAATCAAGTAATCAATTTTAAATCTTATCCTGACAAAAGAAAAGTGTGGTGTCATTCCTATTAAAACAAAACATTCATTATCACAAATTTTAATTCAGAAAATTTTCGAGACTTCGTTTGATTGATTTTGCCACATGCTTTATAATTAATTCTTATTGATTTAAATTTTGATAGCTGCAAATATAAAGCTTTGCAGTAAAAGTTTGGACAAATAGGAAATTTTTTTTATTACAATTATTGCCACTTAAACTTGAAGATAGGGACTAAAGAGAAAAATAATGAGAGCTAAAAGTCGCTTCCCTTTACTATAACCTCATAAAATAGTATTAACCCTCTAAAAACTACATAACACCTGTTATAAATTAAAGTTTCAAAAAACCCTCTATAAGAACTACCTACAACTACCTTATGTGGACTAAAATATTAAATAGTCCCTTAATAATTTTTTTCCAGCCCCCAATTTTTAAGAAAAATCTCAGAAAGATCTTCATTTTTTCAAACTCAGGCCGAAATCCATAGTAGGAGGGCTCTGGGTATTAAAAACCAAAACTTTTCCCTGAGCCCGAGCTCGAGATTTTTAAGAATTCGATTTTGACTTGAAATCTCTAGTTTAAAAAAACAAGCATGCCAATATCCAACTATTTTACTACACCAGTTGACTTGGCTCAGCGGCTACCCAACATTACCAAATGGCAACATAGAGAGAATTTTGGATTATCAAACGAAATCTGGAAACATAATACAACGAGAAATTCTTCTAAATTCAAAGTCTATAGGAACACATAAAATATTATATATATCATAAAGTATTAGTAAACTCTTAACAATTTTTTAAATACATATACCTGGAAGTGTGAGAGCTTTCCGATCTCACTTGAGTCCAATTATGGCTCAAGTTCTTCACGAGTTAGAGAGGAGAGAGCAGATCAAGGGATACACCACAAGTAGCCCGCTGGGAGATAGATGTTTGGAATTGAGGAGAAAAACTTCAACTACACAATAAAAATTATATTAGGTTGATTTTGGAGATATTTTTGGCAGTTTGAGAATATTGGAATGGACGTTTTTCTTAACTATTTATAATCAAAAGGGATAAAGATTTTTTGATTCAATCTTAAATAGAGATCCATGGAAACAATGTCAATCCAACGGATCCATTAAAGCCTCAATAAATGAGGCACCATTGAATACAATCTGAAATCAGTGTACACATTCATTGTCTCTAGCTAGGTCGTGGACCCAGTTTCTTACCTTTCGTCTGTGCTGAAAAAAATCTTTACACGTTAATACAAGTATTACAATTTCAAACCTGATGTTTACATGGTGCGACATCTAACTCGATGTTATGTTGGAAATTGATACGGTTGTTGAAATTTAATAAAATGTGAGATGATTGAGGATCAAATGTCGTCGTAATAAATCTACTTTATTATTATTATTATGTATGATTGGAAGTCCTATGTAAAACAAGTCTTAGCACAATTTTTTAACGTTAGATTAAAGTATTTGAAATGTTGAGATTGTATCCTAGTTATGCTACACACATATGTATATATAAAAGTAGATTTGTTTTACACAAATTTTGACACAAGTTTGTGTACATTGGATTAAATCGAAATGAATGGTTAAGATATGAATGTGGTGGAAATTAATGTTTTTACATATTTTTAATATTAATTGATAAAAAATTAACCTCGTACGCTTTCCATTGTTGTTGTTCTTGTCATGATGTTGCAGAATAAGATCATGACACACAAATCTCTTCCATATATATATATATGAGGTTCTATCAACTTAAATTTTGGCTTAAAATCAAATATTTTACTTTATTTAAGTTTTTTATAAGAAGAATTTTAACTTTCTTTCTAACTATGTATTTTTATTTTTGAAAACATTATATGTGTTACAGTAAAACCTCTCTATAGTTATAATGGTGGGATCGTACAAATTTATTACTATTAAAAAGTTATAACTTAATAGAGATGTAATTACAAAAGTTATTGTTTTAATTTCTTATTTTATAATTCATGTTTTAGTAGTATGTATTAAGATTTCAATTTAATGTTTTAGTAGTCATTGCTCCAATTAGATAAGAAGATAAATGAAATAATCCTGAGAATAATAGTACAGAAATACAAAAAGTTTCGTGTCAAGAAACTCTAAATATGCTTGAGAAGTTGAAAATATTTAATATTTGGGCTTCAACAGGAAAATGTTTATGTTAGTAAGTTATTATATATCTGCAAGTTAAAAAATATGGTAATAACTCTTAAATTATTGTTCCAAACAATTTTAGATAAATATTTTATTTCATCTTAAACATTTAATGTAATATAGTATATATATTTTTGTAATATATAAATAATTATTACTATGTGAATACAATTTTTTAAGATAAAAATTAAAAAAATTATAACTTATTAAAATATAAATTTTTTTTTTATTTATAACTATCTTAATTTAAAACATTACATATAGTAGAAGAGATTTTACTATATTTATTGAAAAGCAAAAATACGTACTTCATTTATAATTTCCTTCAGCCCACATTTTACACCTGGCTTTGCTTTTAATCTTACTTCCTAACCAAGTTGACAAGTAAATAGTGGGTCAACCTAATTATTCCTGAACATTTATTAACGGCCCGGTGCAGGCTTCATTTTCTGTTTTGTACAGAAAATGAAGCCTTACGTCATATATCTTGCGTCAGGATTCTTACCTCGGAGCAATAATTAACATAATATGTATTACTCATCTACCGACCAAAATTTATTGGATGAAGGTGTAAAATCGGAAAGATGATAGAGTTACTTTAATTAAGTAAAAAAGGACCTTTTTTGGCTTTCTTCACAAAACAACTCGGTTAATCCTACAAAGAGATACAACCAAGTCACTGGGGTAAAATTGATAAGGGAAATTTTTTCGTTGATTCTTCATAAATTCTTTTCTTGTATTTCTCCATTGGGAAGTTTTGAATTGTAGAATGGAGATAGGAGACAGGAGACCGGAGGGGGAGATTTGGAGAATGGATCAAAATTGTTCCACCTAAAAATCATTAACCATTCCCGGTTCGGGTTCATGTAAAATATGTCGATCAAACGGTTCCAGAAAAAAACTCAATTATCGAGCCACACTTTCATTGTCCAGTTCTTATCCTTACATCCTGTGGTCAAAAAGATTTTCATCAAACTTTTGATTATGAATAGTTATGAAAAACCAATTATTGAAGTTTTACTGCTCATCTAAAATCTTTGTCTCTCTCATTTTCTCTTACCCCTCTAACTAGTCGGCATATCATGTTGAGAAAAATCGGAAAACTTCTCTCCAACGCTTGAAGAAGTCAATGTTTATGCTTACTTTAATTCTTTCAATCAAATTATTCTAAGAATTTTCATAAAGTTGATTCCCTTTATCCATCCTCTCGCATTTGCTCTGCTGCTTTTCTTTGCCATATTTTATCCCCTGGGCTCTAACTGCTTCTCTTTGTAGTACACCTGCAATATTTATTAAAGATTCTTTTATACGAAATTTATTCCTATTTATATTTTCAATTGTTTTCTAAACTTTGATCTTAGAAGATTTTTTTAGTATGTTTAATGTTTTTAAGATTTTATTTATTAATCCAACAATGTTGTTGAAATTGCCAGTAAGTGGCACATTATAAAACGTTAATTGTAGTGTGTTAGAATCAAGAGCATGCATGATAGGACGGGAAATTAAGGTGTTTTGATAGGATGGTTATTTTTTATTTTATTTTTTTTTTGTAACCCACACTTGGGTAATTCTAGTGGTAGAACGAGTTTAAGTGACAGAACGAGCATTGGGATGTGTAATTAAAGTGTACGGTCTCAGATTCAAATCCCTTAATTTTCAATTTAAACATGTGATCTTGTCAAAGGTTTTTACTTTTTAATGAAGTGGGGTGCGCCAACTAACTCAATGTTAGGATGGAAATTGAGAAGGTTGTTGAAATAGTAATGGGATATGAGAGTTATGTATGAAAATTTTTAAATATAAATTATAATTTAAGTTATTAAATCATTTTAATGCACATTAACTTGTATGTGTGAGTTTGTATATTTAGTATTATTTATCTATTATTAATAATATTATATGCACAAACTTTTTATGTAAATTTCAACATATAAATTAAACTGTTTTAGGATGATCGGCTAATTTTAAACTAAATTGATATGTTTATATTATTTTTTTTCTTTTTTTTTTTTAATTGAAGTTTTTTTTATAAAAAAGGATTTTGTTAAAAAAATTTATTTGTTAAAAGGAAAAAATATGTAACGAGCGTTGTATAGAGTGAAGTTATATATAATAATTTATGTAGTTTATAATTTCTTTTGGTCCACATTTTACACGATCCCTTTGCTTTTATTATTACTTCTTATCCAAGCTGACAAATAAATAAGTGGGTCATCGTATTTATTCTTGAATAATTATTAAGGGCTCGGTATGGGGTAGTTGTATAGCATTTAATTTCCTATAGGAAATTTATCTTGCATCAGATATTGTATTTTAAATTTCTTTTCTAGTAATTAATTTTAAAATATAAGAGAAAAAAATATCACAAGTGATATAAATTCACTGAAAGGTGGTAAAACCTCTAATGTATTCTAAATTTTTTTTTCTAGTGATAAGAGGAGGTGGGAAGTGTGAAACGAGGTGTTTGAATTGTGGTTTTGGTTTATACAAAGTGGCATGCTTGTGTTTCGAAATAGTGAAAGTCTATGTATCAAAGTAGTGTTATTGGCATGGTACCATTGATCAATGCATGTACATCAAAATTTACTACATTCAATAATAATCGATTAAATTCAATATAAAGATAGTTGAGAGATAAAAAATTCTTTGATGATGTAAATTCTATGATAATATAATATTTAATAAACAAATTGTTAGTAGAATATTACTAACTCTAGTATTTTAAATACATATTTTTTGAAACTTTGATCCCGACATATTTCTTCTAAGTTTTCAAAATTTTCTTTTATAATTCAATAACGATGTTGTGATTGAAGTAAGTGGTATATAAGTAAACGTTAATAGAAGTATTAGAATCAAGAGCATGAAATGAAAGATGATGAAAGGCGTTTAGATGGATTTTTCCTTTTTAATGAACTAGGGGGTTGTAAACGCCAAAATTTACAATCGAGTTGAAGAATGAATCTTGTGAAACGAGCCACTGACAACCTTGGTAGACCTGTGGGATGCCTCCTAGTGTCTCTTAGAGAGTCCAAGCAACGCCGCGAGATTGGAGTAGGTTATGGATTCGGCGATGTGAGTAGTATGGTTTTCAAATGCCCTTTTACGATGGGCTGACATTAGCTTATATAGTGAACCGCGAGGGCCCGGATCCTAGTAGGACTCTGAGTGCTATTTGGTAAGAGAACTCTCTTTTCGGGAAAAGATTGGGTTCTTTGCCTATCTGTCAAGGTTTTGATGGTGGAGGAGGTTGGTTAGGATTCTAATCCTCGTTATGGACTATTACGGGCGAATGGGTCAGACATAGTTCAGCTTAACTCAGGGGATGGCCCAACTCATAGAGCAGGCAGTTCCCAAGGTGTTCTAAACGTGGGCCTAATCGGGATTGGGCCAAGGCTTTGGGCCGTCTTTCATTATTGTTGCGATTAGACCTCATCAGGTCCAATACGAATTTTGGCCGATACAGTTTGTCCCCCACTCTCTTAAGTTAAAAAGTATCTACTTTAAGAGAGTAGGATAGATTATCCACGTACAGGGCATGAGTAGGCCATGGTTTAGCAGGTTGCTTGGCCGTTGAGGCGTCGCTAGAATCACACGAGTCGGCTCGGTTCAAGTTGCTGAGTCGAACCAAAAAAAGGATGGAAAGATTGTGGTCATAACGCTCGAGCCTGCTCGGCTCGTCTAGGTTCGACTTGCTAAAGGGTATGTGACTGGGGCGAGCTATTCGTCGATGGGGTCATCTCCGCACATTTGTCAGATGTTAAGCTAGCTCCCAGGTCTTGGGCT